ATAAAGCATACGCCAATTATTTAGTAAAGTAGGTTATTCTTAAATATTAATATTTACCTATTTATGACACATATATGTAATTTATAAATTATAAAAATCACAGATTTCTGGACGCATACAAAGCACAGGGCATACCCTTATGGGGTCTAACCATTCAAAATGAGCCCGCGTTAGCTCTAGTAATATACCCTAAGCACTGGTTTAATACAATGGCATTCACTCCCGAACTGTACCGGGATTTCCTGAAACTAGACTTCGGGCCCATTATGTCGGCCGCCGGTTACGGGCCTAACGTTACCCGAGTTATGATTTTTGACGATAACATCCATTCTGTCACACAATGGGCTGATGTTATCTACAGAGACAATGAAGCGGCCCAATACGTGTCCGGAACGGCCATTCATTGGTATGAAAATAATGCAAGCAATGTGGGCATGCTGGATACTGTGCACGATCAAAACCCGAGCAAGTTTATTTTGAGCACTGAAGCCTGTGAAATGTGGCAGGGTAAAGATTACCATGTTTATTTAGGCAGTTGGCAATTATTTGAGAAGTACGCCACTGATATTATTAGAGTAAGTGAATAAGTTATATAAAGCCAAGCTATAAGTATACTTTATAAAGTTGTGCCCCTTTTATAACTCTAATAGATATAAAATACAAATAAATTTTTGTTGCTTAGGATTTAAATCATTGGGTCGGGGGTTGGGTTGACTGGAATCTGGCTCTGGACACTAATGGTGGGCCCAATTGGTCAAAAAACTTTGTGGACGCGCCGATTATAGTGAACGCTACGGCCCGGGAGTACTACAAACAGCCGTCGTTTTACTCGATCGCACACTTCAGTAAATTCCTTCCGCCCGGCGCTCAACGCCTGAACTATACGCTCGCAGTCGACGGCCCGACAGATGCGGACACTCTGTTGACCACCAGTTTTGTCCGCACAGACGGCGGGACAGTTGTCGTCGCACTCAATGTCGGCGACACTCCTATCGATGTCACCATTAATGACGTCAAACGGCGACAAAATATCACACATTTATTGAGCGCTAATTCGATGCAAACTTATATCTATTTTGATAATTAAGTAAATGATTTTATACAGGGTTAATCTATAAGTATTAAATTCGCTATATTTTTAAACCTGGCCTTTTGTAGGCCAATAACCACTGTTATTAATCAAAACAACAATTAAAAATTTTCGTCTTAATAAATTAAATTATTTTGAACTATTCAATTTATCAATGTATTTGATACTATAGTGCACATCTCCAATTATTGCAATACTAATACAATATTTTGTGTCATACTTTAAGATAAAACCGAAACAATTGCAATACCCAAAAATTTAAGTTTTTCAATTGCTAACCCAAAGTACCTAAACGAATGACACAGTATGCAGCACTTGAAACATACCTATTATTTTGATAAAGTATATCAATAACCCATTTTATTCAAGATTACATGATCAAGCGCTGTATTTGGATTCTATCAGGTACTTTAGGTCTGATTGAATTGAATGGTGTATATAAAGAGACAATTTATGAAAGTATTATTTATAAATAAATTATTTATTTGTTATTACGTTTTAATTTACAACAATATAATTTGTTATTAAAATGAATATTTTTGTGTTATTATTAGTGTTTATTGGCCTAGGTAATTTCAATAAAATAATATTACAAATAATGTTATTTAATAATTATAATTATTTAATTTTAACCAAACGTATAGTGCATTCACGCTTACCGTGCGTTCACAGGGATTACGGAAACGGAGGGACAGTCTGTGTGTGCGATGAAAGCCATTGCGACGACTTGGAGGCCATTCACAGGACTCACAAACAGGTCGTCACTGTTTACGAGTCCTCTAAAAGTGGTCATCGATTGGATAAATCTGTACTCAATTTTGGTCAAAGGTTTATAACTAAAGCAAACAAATCTGTGACAATAAATGTGGACAAAACTCAACCCTTATATCAGGCAATCATAGGATTTGGGGGCGCCTTCACAGACGCCGCCGGTATTAACATTAAAAGTTTGCCACAAATACTGCAAAAGCGGTTAATTGAGGACTATTTCGGGGAAACGGGTATTGAGTATACATTGGGTCGGATACCGATCGGGGGCTCAGACTTCTCCACACATGCCTATAGTTATGACGATAACTATAAAAACGACTTTGAATTAAAACACTTTAATCTAATGAAAGAGGATTTTGATGATAAGGTTTTTATAAATTTATATTCAGGAGTCGGTCAAATAATCTGTTCGGTCGTAGAATTCTCATATCTTTTAAACTATAAGAGGTAATTAAATTATGTAAAAAGCATATAATAGGACCATATCCGCGACTTTTTCCCAACTTATCATTTGTAGAACCTGGTCACGTGGTATATTAAATATGGGGCAATTCCAAACACCCTAGTTATTTGCTAAACCATAACAAATATAAAGATGGTCTTAATGCACAATTTTTCTAGCATAAACTCATGTAAAATATTTAAAAAAATTATTTGACCGACTCTTTATATTTATTTACTGTAAATATTGAATATATTACTACTTAAGAGATGTTAAACTAATCATTGTAGATACCGTTAATTAAAGCAGCTAAGCAAGTGAGCAAGCACGATTTGCGACTGTTTGGAAGCCCGTGGTCAGCACCAGCCTGGATGAAAAACAATTCAGAGTTAAACCATGGTGGTTATCTAATTGGCAAACCGGGTGGTGAATACTATAAGACATACGCTAAATATTTAGTCAAGTAAGTAATGATATTAAATATAACAAAGTTGTGTCAATTGAGCATAATGCTATGTGTAAATTACTGGACATGTTTATTTAGTAAATACTGTATGTAATACATTTATCTGGTTGTAATAAATAATTACTAATTCTGCAGATTTTTGGACTCGTATAAAGCACAGGGCATACCATTATGGGGTATTACCGTAGAGAACGAGCCCATGATTGCCGTATATATGGGAAAACAGCATCCATTCAATAGTATGGCATTCACTCCCGAACTGCAACGAGATTTCCTGAAACTAGATTTGGGTCCCATTATGTCTGCCGCCGGTTATGGGCCTAACGTTACCCGAGTTATGGTTTGCGACGATAACAGACCCTTCATTGCCAACTGGTCTGACATCATATACCGGGACAAAGAGGCGGCCCAATACGTGTCCGGAATGGCCTTTCACTGGTATATTAACAATGAAAGCAATGTGGTCAATCTGGACACTGTACACAATCAGGATCCGAGCAAGTTTATTATAAGCACCGAGGCGTGTGAAATGTGGTTAAATATGGATCAACGCGTTTATTTGGGAAGTTGGCAATTATTTGAGAGATACGCCACTGACATAATTACGGTAACTTTACACAACACTATGCCTTAACATACCCTTGATATAAAATATAAATATGTTTTTGTTGACCAGGATTTGAATCATTGGGTCGGGGGTTGGGTTGACTGGAACCTGGCTCTGGATATTGGTGGTGGACCCAATTGGGTGGATAACTTTGTGGACGCGCCGATTATAGTGAACGCTACGGCCCGGGAGTACTACAAACAGCCGTCGTTTTACTCGATCGCACACTTCAGTAAATTCCTTCCGCCCGGCGCTCAACGCCTGAACCATACGCTCGCAGTCGACGGCCCGACAGATGCGGACACTCTGTTGACCACCAGTTTTGTCCGCACAGACGGCGGGACAGTTGTCGTCGCACTCAATGTCGGCGACACTCCTATCGATGT